GAAGCGTCGCGTCGCGCGACTGCCGCGGCCGCTCGCGCCGCCCGCGGGAGCCCCCGAAAACTTTTCGCACAAGGCCAACGCTAAGGCTTGCGCTGCGCCAGGCGCGGCGGCGCCTTCGGCTTCCGCTCGCCCCGCCTTGGCCGCGAGCGCACGGCCGATGTGCCCCTGCTGGAGCCGCCCTTGCTAGAGCCGCCCGCGTCCGATGAGGCCCCCCTGCTGGAGCCGTGCTCCAGTTCTGCGCCGCGCCCTCGCCGCCCTCGCAGGCTCCCTCGGGGGCCGCCTTTGGCGCCCGCCTCACGCGACGCCGCCCTGGCCGCGGCCTCGTCGGCATCGCGGGCCTCCTCGGCGCGACCCAGGATGGCGGCATCCACGCGCTTTGCCGCGCGCTTCACCTGCGCCGAACCGACGGGGCCAGAGCGGCGCAGAAGATTATGTGCAAAACACGCGCATACATATGCTTCAAAAACGAGTCGCCAGAGCGCGAACGTTCAGCCCAATCCTTGCGGTCCGCTCGTCGCACTAGACCTCGGGCAGCACCCGCCGCGCGTGGCGGGCAGCCTCGAGGCCAACCGTTGCGCAGATGTCGCGATGGGCCGCGGCTGCGGCGTAGCTCAGCTGGCCAGCGGCGCGGGCGCCGATCGTGTAGCGACTGGCCGCGAGGTGCCACTGTCGGAGCGTTGGCAGGGCGCGCTCGGGCGTCGCCTTCGCCCCCGTGGCATCGCGCGACGAGATATGCGCGGCGCGAGCGCACGCGGCGGGGAAGAGCCGCGCTTGTGCCAAGTTTCATGTCCTCAGAAAGTTTAGCCTCGTCTTCGTCGGCATCGCGAAGCGACCGGGCGAGGCGCTGCGGCAATAATGTGGCCAGCTTCGCGCAGACGAAGCCTTTTTCGATCCCGCGCTTCCGAAGCTTGGCTGCTTCGCTGACAAGCTCATCTACGAGGTCGGAGCTGCGCCGCGAGCGCCGCGCACAAAGTGGCGCGCGCGTCGCCGCGACTAGCTAGGCCGCGCCAGCGCAAGAGGTTGCCGGGCAAACCTTCGAGGTTCGCAGTCTTGAGCGAAGTGCGGATGTCCGCGCGGGCCGCCACGGGCGCCTGCGCGCGATGCGCGCGACGTCGCGCGGCGGCAGGCGCGCGATGGCGCGTCGAAAGCTTTGGAAAAGCGCGAGGAGGGCCGCGCTGGCGCCCCCGCTGGCCGACCCCGCGGTCGCCCGTTGCTCCTTGCTCTCGCCCCGCGCGCGAGCGGGCGCGCGCGCTACTCGCGCTGCGCGGGCGCTCCGACTTCTCGCGCGCGGCAAGCTTGATGGCCGCGCGGGCGCATCGCTTCTTGCCTCCGCCCACGTCAGCACGCCGTAAGCGAAAGTCCTGATTTGGCCCCGGCCAGTTCTGAGGGCGCAGTTATGCTCTGGGCCGCCAGCGCCGCCGCAGCCAAGTCGAACCAGGGGGATTCCTGCGCGCCCGCCCCCTCTATGCGCTCAAGAAAAGCGCGAGGGGTCTCTGACGCAACTTCGGCCGTCGCGAAGCGACGCGTTGCGCGTTCGCGCGCAGCTCAACTCTCAGCCGCCGCTGCGCCCCACGCCGACGGAAAGACGACGCGACTACGCGGCGGGAGAGACCGCGCCGCGATGCGCCGCGGCAGGCGCCTGGGCCCAGAAGGCGGCCGCCTGCGCGGTCAAGCATTTGGCCCCCGAGCAGCGGCAGGCCGCATAGGCCCCGCATGGCCACTCCGGGCCGACGGACAGCACGCGCCCGCGACGCAGCAAGCCGCGTCGGCCTGCGCGGCGGCGGGGGCCGCCTGGACCCAGGAGCCGCCGTGCGCAGGGGCCGATTGGAAACGCGCCTTTGCGATGGCTGCGCGTGCCCCCCATGGCTATTTGGGGCCGACGCGGCGCATGTGCCCGCAACGTAACAAGCCGCATCGGATTGCGCAGCGGTGGGGGCCGCCCGGGCCCGGGAGACGCCGCGCGCTGAGGCCGAGTAGGCCCGCGCTCTTGCGAGGGCTGCGTTTGTCCCACATTGCCGCGCGGAACCGACGGACAGCGCTCGCCTGTAGAACAGCGCGCCGCATGGGCCTGCACGCGTGGCGGGGGCCGGCTGGGCCCTGGAGCCGACGCGCGCTGAGGCCGAATAGGCCCGCGCCCCGACAGTGGCCGCAGTGGGCCCGCGCGGCCACGCGGGCCCGACGGACGCTGCGCGCCCGCATGAGAACACGCCGTTGAGGCCCGCGCCTGCGCGGGGGGCCGGCTGGGCCCCGCAACCGCCGCGAGGGGCGCGAATGCACGCGCTGTCTCGAGAAGCCTGTCGGGCAGACCGAGCACGCGCGAGAGCAAGCCGAGTAGCCGCGCGAAGATCGGACGCGGCACGCGGGCCTGCCCACAGCAGAAGGGGGGGCCCTGACCTCGAGCCAGCAATTCAGGCGAGAGGAGCTCGTCGAGGAAGAAGAGGACACCTGCGCTCGGCGGAGGAGGGAACAGGGAAGGAACCTACACGGGGAGGAGAGGGCGGCGACGGGAGCGCGCCCGCGGCGACGAACGACAAGCCAGATAGCCACGACGCGCCAGCAAGACCGCGACGCGACGCCCGCGACGCGACTGACGGACAGCCGCGACATGACCAGCTAAGCCAGACGACCACGACACAGAGGCCAGGCAGCCGAGAAGGCAGCCGCGACCGACGGCCGCGACGCGGCACCCAGCCGACCACGATTGGCAGCCATGGCCACGGCGCGACAGCGACACGACGGCGACCCTGGCCACGACGGGCGAGACGACCACGACCCCGACGACGACCGCGACGCCGAAGACGACGACGGCGGCCGCGACGACGACGGCGGGGCGACGCGACGACGATGAACGCGGCGGCGGCGAACGAGAAGAGGAGCGACGACCCGCTGGCGCGCGCGCGCGGAGCGACGACCAGCCTGCGCGCGCGCGTGGACACGACGCGACGGACGGCGCGGCGACGGCCGCGGCTCAACGGCGAAAGCGCGCGCGCCATCCGCGACGGAAGCGCCGATGCTTGCAGGACGCAAGCGTCGAGGCCTGCAACCCGCGCGACCCCGAGGCGCGCCGCGAACGGCCCCCGAAGGGTCCCCGCGGCGCGCCAGCAGGGAGCGCGCACCGCGAAGCAAGCAGAAGTGCAAGCGGCGAAAACGCGCGCGCCGCGCGCCTGCGCCCCGCGCGCGCGAGCCCTTCGCGCGGGTCTGCGCGCAGCGAGTCGCATGCCGTCACCCCGAACGCGCGCGGGCCCTCCTGCGGGGCTGCGCGCGGCGATGCGCATGCCATTGCTCCCCCCCCTCCCCTTTCGCGCGCGCGAGCCCTTCGCGCGGGGCCGCGCGCCGCGAGGCGCAGGGTAGCGGGGGCGGCCCGTGCGCGCAGCTCGCCCGCCTGCGCGCGGGCCAGGCGCGGGCGCGAAATTTGCGTTCGCGCGCAACGCAGCTCAAGTGTACGCGCGCGCTTTCGATGGCGTTGGGCGCCCGCAACACTGCGGCCAGGATAGGCTCAGAGGAAGCGAGTCGACCCCCAGTGCCCATTCATCGCCGATGCGGGCCAGATTGCTCATCCCGCTCAGGAACGTGCGGATATGATGGCATCGGGGGCCCATCGGCGACGCATCGCCAATGTACCCCTCCTGAGCTGCTCCTGCTGCGGAAATGTGTGGGCGAAGGTGGAGGCGGGGATCGGCGAAACTGCGCTGGCGGTGGTTGGCACTCTAACCTCAGTGGGGCTTCAGGACGGTTTCAGTAATATCTCGTGAAGGGTCCACGACGGCTTCACGAAGTAATATGCAACCATATGCTTAACCACCTATGCCACGCACGTGTTTCCGCCAGCCCCCCAACACCCAGGCAGCCCGACCAAGCCAAGCCCTGGGCGAGGCTGCTAAATAAACCTTACCGTTCGGGGCGGGGTGGCCCTGGAATCCCATGGAATCCCCTGGGTGTTCCTCTGGAAGCAGCCCCCCGCAGTAACCCAAGCGGCTGCTGCTGATTATGATTGTGGTGATGGTGATGAACGCACTTATCTTGCTAAAGCGATGGTGTCTCGTGACACGGGCATGCTTGACCCTTGGGACTCTGCAAGCCGTGGCGTGGCCTCGCGTGCTGAGCGTTCTGGGCCAACGTGCCTCCGGGAATGCCGATTTTGCGCCGATGTTTCGCCACCCCGAACCAGTCCCCCCTGTCAGGCGATCGCAAACATGGATCAAGGGGGCGTGGATTAGCTACGGGTTCTGTTTCTGTGGGAAATCGCGGGCTTCCGCCGCCGAAAGAGGCGGCACAAACCGCATTTTGGGGAGAGCACTTCCCCCGATCCATGGATTTGGCGACCGCGCGCCAAATCCATGGATTACTAATCCATGATTGAGCGCCCCCGACCCCGGCGTTGCCCCTCGCGTCAGCAGAACGCATGTGCCTCGGACTCGACACCCCTGGCGTGCGGCAGGCTTCCAGCCAGCGCTGGGCCCCCCTATCCACACGCCCCCAGCATCGGCCTTCGGCGCGCGCTTCGTGGTGGGTCAGGGGCAACGACAGCGGGGGGATAGGCACGGGGGGTGGTAGGCATAGGGGGCGATAGGGGGTGGGCGCTTTCTTCGGTTCTCATCGGTTGTCCAGTTTCGGGGTGCTCTCCAGCAGCAGCAACTTTTCGCCGAGATCGCCCCAGGGATGCTGCGATCGTCCCGAGCGGCGGCCGCCGGAGGCTCGATAGGCATAGGGGGTGATGCATCGACCCCCAATCGCCCACTGATCGCTGACAGTGGTCCGATGGCCCCAGCCTGCCTAGGAAGGTGCGGATTCACTAACAGAGGCTCAACTCGCCGATCTATCGGCGACGTATCGCCGATTCCAGGTCGATGCGCCCTTCCGTATGCCAGTCCCCCCCCTATCGTTGCCCCTCAGAGGGGTGTGGTCGAGAGCGGCGCCGGCCGGGTTATCTGCCGTTCGCGGACGTCCGAAGCTGAATGTGTAGGCTGTCTTTGGCTTTGTTTTTCCCTTGCGCCCTGCAGGCTCGTTCGAGGCCGCTGTCCGCCGGGACCTCTCGCCGAGTGCGGGAAATACGTTTTCTTTTTTGGCGTCCGACACGGATTTCGGAGAGGCTTCGGTGGAGCTTCGGGGAGCTGCCGCTTGGCAGCGGACCGAGTCGTTGAGGAACGGCCGCTTCGTGAAGGAGTACAAGATAGGTGAGATGTTGGGCCAAGGTGCTTTCGGTATTGTATTTGCTGCCAAGCGGCGAAAGCCAACTGACTCGGAAGGCAACATGTTGGCTGTAAAGTTGATTGACAAAGTTGAGACGCATCCTGGGGACATAGAACGCGAGGCCGCGATCCACGCAAAGTTGGACCATCCCAATATATTGAAGGTTCATGACGTGATCGACGAACGCTTCTTCGTCTGTATCGTTACCGATCGCTTCCCAGGGGGAGATTTAGTAAAGTGCCTGCATGGCTGCCAGCGTCTAAAGCCTTCGAAGACCATGCATATCGTGAAGCAGATGTTGGAAGGTGTCTGTTACCTGCACAACCTCGCTATCGTGCACAGAGACGTAAAGGCTGACAATTTTCTGACAGAAAAGGAAGAGTTTTTAGACCCCGACTGCAGAGTCATTCTCGCCGACTTTGGTTTCGCCTGCTACTGCAGGATTCGAAGAGCAGGAAACTGCATAAACATAAACTTTCGGAAGTCCGCGCTGATTTCTTGGAACGGCGCTGGGCCCCCCCGGCGACGCCTCTGGTGCCATCCCTGGCGCGCTCTGCGCGCCAGGAGGAGGGGTCAGCGCCTATCCAAGGCATCCCCGCGGTGCTCCGAAAGTGTTTGTTCATGCCGTTTTTCTTCCTCTAGGACAGGAGATCGCTTGCAGAGGAGATGCGGCACGAAGATGTATTGGGCTCCGGAGATATGGGACAGAAACTACGCCGTGAAGGTGGACGTCTGGGCGGTGGGTGTCACGGTCTACGGGATGATGGAGGGCACCTTCCCGTTCCGCACCGAGTGGGACATGAAGAGCAAGGTCTTGTGCATCGAACAAATCCATGTCTCGGCAACCACGTGTGAACCCTACCCCTGCACGTCATATTTCTGAATGACTGGCTGGGATTCAGAATTCAAAGGATGTCTGCAGCCAAGTGTGCCCCAGCGAGGGTTTCCGTGAGCCAGTGGCGACCATTCTTCGAACTTTGCTCCTGTGGGTCCACTCGGCGCTGGAGTCGGACACACCCGCGGGAGCTCACTTCATTATCTGAACACCAGCCTGCCTGTCAGAAATCTAAGCTGCAGGGGTAGGGGTCACACGTGACTACCTGTCCATATCCATGCCTCGCGGTCCAGCTTTCTCCGCCGCGACCCCATGGATGCAGGTAAAGCCCCGCCCGGCCGCTGCCTGGTTGCGGGTGAATCTGCGCACGGTGTAGCCATAGGATCGCATGCCCATGGGACCACATGCGAGCACAGATTCGAGCGGGGCTAGGACGAGGGTAAATCCGTTCCAGAGCGTTCCGGAACCCTCTCAGAGCGTTCCGCAACGCTCCGAGAGGGCCGCGGCGCCCGATACACCCTCCAGAACCGCCGGATCTCAGAGATTTTTGATTTATCCTCGCCCGATTTAATATTCGTCCTGGCTTTGTCTTAAAGATGGGCGCTGGCCGAATTTTCGCTCGCCTTCCACCACTCGGCGGTGAGCAATGGGGGCAAGTCAGAAGGGGCGGGCCTTCTCAGAAGGCTCAGAAATCCCCCTGCCGTCTAAGACATTTCCCTGTCAGGCTTGCCCTAAGGGGTTCTTACCTGGTTAAAGGTTAGTGCCTCTTGGGGCTGCATTGCCTGTTGCTCGAAGGTCCCTCGGGCTCCTCAAGTTCCTCTGGTGCATCGCGTGCCTCGGGTTCCTCGGGTTCCCCGCCCCTGGTGCCTCGGGGGGTTATTTTGCCCGTTGCTCGGAGATTCCTAGGGTTCCTCGGGCTCCTCGTTGCTCTGAGGTTGATCCGGTTCCCCGGGTTCCTCGGGTTCCTCGGGTTCCAATGCCAAGCAATGCCAAGCATTGCGCCTATGCAACAGGAAGCTGTCTCCTAATTGGGTCCGCGCCAGGCTCGTTCTCTAAGCCTCCCCTGAAGACGCAGAGGATTTCTCAGACGGCGCGAGGGCTTCGGAGCAGTCCCGCCGCCTTCCGAGAAGGTCTTCTCCTTCTCTCGGGCCGGACGAAAGAGGGGGATTGGGAAAGGGGGGCTTACAGTTGGGGCGCTGAAGAAGGAACCCTTTTCGTTGGGGAGGGGCTCGGTGTTCCTTGATTGCTTAACTGTTTGCCTCGGGTTTTCCTGAAATTTTCCATGCGAAATCGAGGTTGAACCTACGGGAAAAAGGGGCCTCGTTCCTTATCTAGGGTTCCTTAGGTCAACGCCTCGACTGTACGAAAGTGCCCGGCCCGATTCTCGTTTCCCCCCTCGCTCGCCGCCGAACCTCGTCGAAGTGCTGCGGTCCGCGTTTCCCGGGGGAGCGCGGCGGCCTCGGCCAGATCCAGGGCCCCATCCGCGGCCCCAGCCCCTCGCGTGCTCCACGCTGCTCGCCCCTGCGAGCAGCGTCGGCGTCGAGCAGTTGGGCCCGCGCGCCCACGTTCGTCGCCCGTTGAGGGACTCGGCGTCACCCCAAGATGCAGTCGGACCGAGGTGCAAGATCGAGGTCGGTTCGGGGAGGGTACCCCCAGTGTTCTGCATGTTTGTCGGATGGTCTTGTGCATCCTGGGGAGGGCAGCGCTGGATGTCCTGTTTGTTTTGGCCGACGGAGGGTCTCATGTTCCTGAAGGATGTTCTTCTGGCCTAGATCCGACGGTACTACAGTCGAGCATCCGACTCAGAAACCTCCTCCCGAGAAGCTGGGCCAGCATTTCTTAGCCAAGTTGCCGGAGAGCTGGCCCAGTTCTTTGAGCACGTTTGCCCCTCCAGCGTTAACAACATACATTCGCCCAGGCTCGTTTTAAGACATGTTCGGGAAGCTGGCCTATGGTTCTTATCTGATAATTTTCTTGGTCATACTTTTTGCTGCGATGCTATGTGTGCGTCGCCCCCCCCAGGTGGCGACGCGCGCACAGAGAAATCTTGTAATATATGCGTCGTGACGTTTTCTGACCGTACTGCTCGGGAAACTATATATACTAGAAGAGTTGTGTACTAGATGTTCGGTTCGGACGCACGCCGCCGAGGAGGATACATAGTACTAGTATGTCCTATGTCCTTCTGCGTCCCAAGGACGTCACGTGCCACCCGATGATGTCCCCTAAGTGCCTCGCCTTCATGCTGGGGCTGCTCACCAAGGCTCAACGGAGGAAAGAGCACCGACACCGCCACCCCTGCTTCGTTTTCGCTTTCTTGGGCCTCCTGGGAGGCCCTCGTCGCCATCGCTGGATTCGCCTCGAAATCCTGGTCAGGACGCACCCCAGGAGAGGTCCAGGGAGCGGCGGCATCGGTACACTTTCGGCTCCCCCAGAGAGGCGGAGAGTCGGCGCCCGACCGCGGCGCGGGCCCTGGAGCACAAGTGGCTCCTGAGCCCCCTCTCCGCGGAGAGCGGCGCCCCCGTCAGTCGCAGCTCGACTCTGACTTCTGGCGCGTGCCGCCAGGGCGATGACGAGTGGGCCCCCGACCTGGAAGCGGGGTGGCAACATGCCCATGACGGGGGGCGCCTGAGGCTAATCACAGCCGCCCCCCGCATTTTGGAAGTGCCTCTGCGGCCGAGCGTCGTGGCCAGGCCTCGGCCACGCTATCGGACTGCGTGTGTCCCCGAAGCCGTTGTGAGAACCCTTTGGGGAACACTTGGAGGAGGAAGAAGAGGACGAGGGAGAAACAAATGATGCTGATGATGATGATGATGATGATGATGATGATGATGATGATGATGATGATGATGATGATGATGCTGATGCTGATGCTGATGCTGATGCTGATGCTGATGCTGATGCTGATGCTGATGCTGATGCTGATGCTGACGCTGACGCTGATGCTGATGCTGATGCTGATGCTGATGATGCTGATGATGAGGATGAGGAGGAGGAGGAGTAGGAGGAGGAGGAAGAGCGGGACTCTTGGAAGGGTTCTGGGTAATCTCGGGGCTTCCTTGGCGCCTCCTGGGTGCCTCTTGGGGTGCTTCAGGGCCGTTTCGGAGGCCTCTTGGACTCTCTTGGAGAAAGATCTGGCGCATTTTATCCGTACTCGATGTAGTTGAGCTGTTGTGAATATGAGACCATCTGTGGTCCTCATGCAAGCACGCTGTCTGTAACTGTGTCGGGTTCAGACAAGAGCCATTTGTGTTGAGCTGTGCGAAGGATACATAATTGAATTCTCACATACCGTTCGGAACGCGTTGCTACCGATCGTGATAGCGGAGCTCCTGCTCGGGCTGCCGTCCGGGCTTGCGTTTCCCATAATTCAACCATTTGAAAAGGGCGAAGTATGGGAAACGCAACCACTGACGATTGCCCCAAGGACACATTGCGCGGGAAACGCGTTTCCCAGAATTCTAATTCCGAAAAGTGGGAAACGCAATTTCCTTTGCAAAACAGCACTCGCTGGGCCAGAACTGCGTTTCCCAGAATTCCGAATTGTGGGAAACGCAGGCCCATTGAGTGCGTTTTTCACAGGAAATTGCGTCTCCCAGAATTCCGTTTCCCAGAATTCGAATTCCGAATTATGGGAAGTACAATTTCCATTGACAAACAGCACTCGGTGGGCTCGAATTGCGTTTCCCAGAATTCCGAATTATGGGAAACTTACTTCTGGCCCATTGGGTGCGGTTTTTCCACGGAAATGGCGTTTCCCATAATTCGGTTTCCCAGAATTCGAATTCAGAATTATGGGAAACGCCATTTCCTTGGACAAACATCACTCAATGGGCCAGAACTGCGTTTCCCAGAATTCCGAATTATGGGAAACGCAATTCTGGCCCATTGAGTGCTTTTCCCACCGCAAATTGCGTTTTCCATAATTCGGTTTCCCAGAATTCGAATTCCGAATTATGGGAAACGCGAATTCCTTGGAACAACCGCACTCAATGGCCCAGACTTGCGTTTCCGATACTTCCGAAGTATGGGAAACGCAATTCTGGCCCATTGAGTGCGGCTGTTCCTCGGAAAACGCGTTTCCCATAATTCGGTTTCCCAGACGTCGAATTCCGAATTATGAGAACCACCATTTTCCTTGAAAAACAGAACAGAATGGGCCAGAATTGCGTTGCCCATGATTCCGAATTATGGGAACCCCTTTGGAAGCGCCTTTGTGGCCGAACGTTGCGGCCAGAGGCCTGCCACGCTATCGGACCATGTGTTCCCCGAATCGGTTTGGGAAGCTTTCGGGGAACACGTGGAAGAGAATAAACATGAAGAGGAAGAGGAAGAGGCCTCTTGGGCCGTCTTGAGCCGTCGGAATGGCGAGAAGAAACACATGCCAACATCCTTGAAACACTTAGAGAAAAGTAATAACTTTGGTCTCTTCGGGCCCTCCTGGAGTACCTCTTGGAGGCCTCTTGGGCCGTCTTGGAGGCCTCTTGTGGGCCTCTTTGGCCATCTTGGGCAATATTGACGCCATGTTAGGCCGTCTTGGAGGCATCTTGGGCCGTCTTGGAGGCATCTTGGGGGGCGAAGCTATCGGACCATGTGTTCCCCGAGTCGGTTTGGAAAGCCTTCGGGGAACACGTGGGGGAGGAAGAGGAAGAGGAGGAGAATGAGGAAAAATGAGAAGGGGGAGGATGCCTCTTCGGAGCCTCTTGAGGCACTCTTGGGCTCGATTGGGCCATCTTGGGACCGTCTTGGAGGCCATGTTGGTGCTATCTTGGGCTCTCTTGGAGCCTCTCGAGGGCCTCTTGGGGCCTTTTGGGGACTTCTCGGGGGCCTCTTTGGCCGTCTCAGGGCGTTTTTGGCCTGTCTGACGCCGTCGGGAGCCGTCTTGGGGGCCTCTCTGAACCGACTTGGGGTCCTCTTGGGGCGCCTCGGGGCCGTCTTGGAGGCCATCTTGGGCGTCTTGGAGGCCTCTTGGGCCGTCTTGGGGCTCTCTTGGGGCCGTCTTGGGGGCCTCTTGGGCCGTCATGGGGCCATCTTGGAGGCCTCGTGGGAGATCTTGGGGC